TTTTCACAACACTGACAAGTGATTCCACTTCCCTCCCTGGCCCCGGCTGGTTGGCAGGCGCGCTGAGTCATGGGTACACGTCGTCGGATATCGCTGAGCAGATCCTTGGCTAGTTTGAATTCGGCGAAGCCGAACGGAGGTTTGTGCGTAAGTCGAGGAACGTCTGCACACACACACACCGACTATATCGCTGTGTGTGTGGGGGTGTGAGTGTTTGGTTGCGTGGCGACGACAGACGACGACCCCCTCCCCCCCAAAATTAAATTAAAAAGAATCCGCGCCGACAACAATAACAAAAAGCAACGATGCTGGTCAGGAAAGGTGTTTCGCGCATCCGTTTAACGGGCAACAATGTAGCAACAAAACAAAACACGACTCTGTCTTGAGAATACTTCAATTTTAAAGAGAGAGAACGGTCTGGAAGGAGGGTCAGTATTCGTAAAGTTTTCGAACAACAAGAAAAAGAAACACACAAATTCCTGGTGTGCGAGTTGGCAGAACGGCTGGAGAGAAGACCACTCAAACTCAGAAAGGAAAGTCTGTACTTACAGAAATTAAAGTCATTTTGAGAACCGGAAGTGATGAAGAAATGTCGGTAGCTGTGAAGTGAACTGACACTCGCTTGTTACGTTATTTGTTTATATTGGATTACCGCCCCTTCTTCCAGTCAGGACAACTGGTAAGTCGAGAATTTATGATTTAAAGTTTATTTTATAATTACGTGAGCCATCGTTGTAGCTCATTCATGCCAGTCGAAGACACGACAAAATACAAATTTGCTAACTAAATCATGGCCTCTCGTAAAAATATGCAGTACAGATTCATGTATTTATGACATGTTCGTATTAAACCTCGAAATTTAATATTCATGTGTACACATGAAATATATAATCGGCAAATTTGTTGCAAATAGTGTTGGTTCGTACCCACCACTCACTGTCTTCCAATTTGTCGAGACGAATATCTGGTTATGTTGGACCTGCGGTTTATGCTACTAGGGAGTTGGGAAAATCACGTAAGTTAATTAATTATATGCGACAGAAACGGCCAACTTTGTTTTTATAGCGAAATACTAACGGTAGATTTTAATTTCATTTGAATTTGATATAATCAGCGATGCAACAATGCTGCGTGAATTTAAGATTGATATTAATGCATTTGGTACGTGTGTTTTAATCAATTGTGTATCTTGGTTTCTGCAGTAAGTAAATGAAAGTTATAACAGTAGGATAGACATTCATTTAATAGTGTCAAAGCTCAACTGTCTGTCCAGCAAGCTTAAATTTTTTTCGTATACATGCAGTGAGGCCAAACTGTATTCATGTGTGCGTTGATACCACATTCATGATAATCTTTTCAACAATAATATCCAGCCATTTGCACGGAGAGAATAGATCCACGTTCGATTTATCTTATGTTTTCTTAAAATTTAATTTATGTGTCTGCTAATACGTGGCGCTCGTTGCCTCTGTAGTGAAAAGGGGGGGAAATTACGTCGCAATAATGCACATTCATTTGTTTCGTTGATGATAGAATTCTACCCGTCATATGTTTTTGATTGTGTTGCACTGAAAGTCGTGTACATTCTTCAAGAAATCAACCCGTCTTCCGCGTAAGAAGATTGTACAACCACAATTTTTAAAATTTATTTAAAATTTACGCGTTAAGGAAGCCGACATTTGACAACCATTTGACTTTTTTCTTTACCCGTTACGTAACCAATCCGCTGTGATGACTACAAAATGGCGCTCGATATTACAATAATAGTTCGTAATTAATGGAAATGATGGTCGGAAAATGAAGTCTCTCTACTTTTCTGTCTTCCTGAGGTTTATTAGTGTACAATTACGACACTAAAAGAATCTTCCAGAAATCCAGCTTGTGTGTCTCTAAACGCACATAAAAATGTCAAAACGGTGCGGAGTGGCGCGAAGTTTAGTTGAAATATAGCAGCATAACTCTAAATGTATTAGACTAAAGGACAGCCAGATTAATCCATATATAATAATCTATAATTTACTCCGCATTTCATAGTTTTCCTTAAGAAGTGATTGTTATTCACTTGATGAAGAAATTCCTTCGTGTGTGTAACCCCCAGGGTTCATTGTAGTGGTCGCAACTCTCCGTCATGGATCTCTGAGTACGATGAATCCAGTTCGCACACTCTCACCTTGTTTCCCTGAGATCTGTTAACAAAACTACGCTCTCATATCCGAGAAGAGTCGAGCTGACACAGCAGAGAGCCACATTAAACTTTAAGACGCAGTCCATTCACATATTTTGGAGCAGCGTCTTATCTGCCAGAGAGCAGCAAGTCACACTGAAGTCATCTCTGCGGGATATTTATAGTACAATGATGTCAGCCCTGTAATTTGAATTTTTTTGTTCTCCATCAGCTAGTACGTAAACCGTTTTGCCAAGAGTTACGAGTTTATTTTCCCACTCTCTATGCTCGTAAGAAACACGTCACGGAGGCGTATGGGGGGGCCCGGAGGTAAAGATCCACACATTCGTGATGGAATTGAGCTATTGGCTTCATGCTGCTGTCGATCTGTAATTAATTACACTGGAGGCACGTTCATTAAAAGTCCGCCATTGGATCTCATCATGGGCCAGCTATATCCAGTTCAGAACATAACATCATTACTCCATTTTAATATTATCCTCTCATGTTATCTCCCTTTGAGGCTTCCGAATAAAATATACAATTTTCAACCTACGATTCCGGCAAATTTGAGTAAAATGCACATTTATTATGGTAAGGGATTCGTATGCATTCGCCCAATTATAAAGTCGTAGGGACACCCCTTAAGGGCTCATTCAATATATTCGCAGC